ATCTCACACTGCGAATTTTTTCTAAGCTCTATATTAAACATTAAATCTGTTACGACAAAAGAACTAAACAAAATGAACACAAAACAATCAGCTTTAAGAAAAGGACTCGTAACTGCAAAAACCGAATGAAAAAAGAATGTTAACAACAAATACTTTTTCACACCCAACCCAGTTCTGCGGAATCAGAATCAACGTTGAGTTTAAGCAAACGAATGAGCCAATTGGAGTAAAGTGCCATGCAGATTTAAATTTTTCCCACTTGTGACGAATGCAGTTATCGATTTTTTTTTTTTTTGCATACTAGCATGCTAGTTAACATTCATGTCAGTCAGCTGTTGGCCAATAGAATCTTCCTGCCTATTCGTGGCAGCCAGCTATAGGCTCTCAATCTGGCCAGTAGAAAATGGCCGCAAACTACATGAAAACTGCCGTAGAAGCATGAAAATATCGATTATTTCCACCATCGATGGGAGTTGGGAAATGCAAAGTCGGTCTTGGCCTTTCAGCGAACTTGGAGCATGTGAATGTAAATTTTGGTGCAAATCCGTCGAAAATTGCGGCCGTGCATGTGTTACACACACACACACACACATTCTGCCTTTTATAGATAGAGATATATAGATATATAGATATATATATATAGGCAGCATATCTACATTCAAACATGTTAAATTGAATAACATACACCATACACACACACACATAAACATATATATGTGTGTGTGTATATTTCACTAAATAATATAGACATATTTGTCTACTTATTTTTATATTATTTCTTTCCAGTGGTCTGATCAGTTTCTTAATGTTACGATGAAATTCGAGGAAGGCACCGTAGTTTTTATGTACCCAAGTACATTCTATGTTTTCAAACATGATTTTCAGGGATAAATTACAAAGACAAACATATTGTAACTGCGACAAAATTTGTATTCCGTAGTGATGGTTGGTGATTTTTAAAAAAACGTGCGAACGCGCTCTGTTATAAAATATGGCGCCTTCCTTCATGAATTTCATCTTAATATCAAGAAACTAATTAGACAACTGCAAAGAATCAGTATAAAAATAAATAGATATGTCTATATGTCTATATATATCCATATTATTCAATGAAATGCGGCACACACACACACACACAAACACACACACACATATATATATATATATGTGTGTGTTTGTGTGTGTGTGTGTGTGTGTGTGAGAGAGAGAGAGAGAGAGAGAGTGAGTTCGTGTATTGATTCAAAACTATCGCTTCCATGCTTATAAACAGCATTCCGGTCTGAGGTTATATGCTTCTGCATTCGTCGGTCGGGACAGACACCCGGTCAACCCTCAGTATCAATATGCATTTTCAGTTCATTCTCATAATGGATAATTCATCTAATCTCGTCTAGTGTTTACACAACTGTCTCAAGTACTCCTGTAAATATAGGCCTCGTATTTAATTTCATGTTCTACAATTTTGCCAGCTCTCATTTTTTTCATTTTATCATTCTTCTATTTACACGGTTTGACATAGCTACGTTTAAGATTTGGCAGGTCCTCTTTTCTTTGTTGATAATTATCAAAAGCTGATTTCTTATTTTGATTACACAGTTGTTTTTATTTCTTTTTTTATTTTCAGAAACATCTTATAGCTGTTTGATTTGTTGCTTTGATGTTTATCACTTATACAGCATTCCTTATTTCTTAGTATATTTGAAAGCAACGTTGAGCTTGGTCAGTACCTAGACGGGTAACGTTTAGGAATGCCAGGTGTTCTAAGTCTGAAATTGCAGTTGGTGCAATGGATAACGGTACAAAATTTGAACTCGAAGAGCCGAATTCCAATTCTTTTTCGGGTTCGTTATATTTACTTAAATTATTTACATTATTCGAACTGTTATCCTCATAGATAATAAACGTTTCGGTTCGAAATTCCAATGACCTGAAGAAAGCCGGAGCGTACAACGGTCGAAACTTTGTGAATATGTCAATGACGATGAGGATAACAGTCCGAATAATGTAAATAATATAAATAATCATAATAACTCATCTCAGAGATATAGACAGATATTCCTTATATTTACTTACGTGCAAATATCCTTGAGAAAGCTATGAATGAGCCTCTTCTCCAACCAGCTATGGGTTAATTAGTAAGATTTGTACCTGTAAAAATCTTTATTATCTACAAAAATTTCGTATAATCTAAAACTAATTTCTGGCTTTAAATAATCTGCCGTGGGTAAGCCGTAAAATAACAACATTATATTTGAAATAACTGAAATAATTGTAATAATTGAAATAATTGTAACAATTGTAATAATTGGAATAATTGTAATAATGGAAATAATTGTAATAATTGTAATAATTGAAATAATTGAAATAATTATAATAATGGAAATAATTATAATAAATGGAATAATTATAATAAATGAAATAATTGCAATAATTGAAATAAATTATTGTAATAATTGTAATAATAGAAATTATTGTAATAATTGTAATAATAGAAATAATTGTAATAATTGTAATAATAGAAATTATTGGAATAATTGTAATAATTGAAATAATTGTAATAATTGTAATAATTGAAATAATTGTAATAATTGAAATAATTGTAATAATGGAAATAATTGAAATAATTGTAATAATTGAAATAACTGTAATAATTGTAATAATGGAAATAATTGTAATAATTGAAATAATTGTAATAATTGAAATAATTGAAATAATTGTAATAATTGCAATAATTGTATTAATTTAAATAATTGTAATAATTGTAATAATTGTAATAATTGAAATAATGGAAATAATTGTAGTAATTGAAATAATTGAAATAATAGAAGTAATTGGTATTGGAATAAATGATCGCAACCACACGAAGCTATAATGTATTTGGGTTTTCAAGTCGGCGTCCCAGATGGACTTTTTACAAAGTTAAAGAGTTCCAACTCTTCAGAGTTCAAGAGCGAAAGCTTGACGTACTATTGAACTGTAGTCGAGAGCGTTGAGGCATTTATGCAAAATTAATAAAATCAGTTTTCGCCAGAGTTTGAACTTGGTTCTCCAATTTCATTCTTCCTGTCATTAGTCGTTACGGCATCCCGTCTTCCTCTAATTGAATAGTAAAAATCTTTTTTCATCATGGTGAGAGATATTAATATTGTCAACAGCGTCAGCTTACTTTTTTCTTTATTTAAAGGAGAAACTGAGAAAGTACATATATATATATATATATATATAAAATCCACAGACACCCAAGTTTTGGTTTACCACTGCTGTGGCCTGGTATTGAACTCACAACTCTTTGGATCTAGTCTCTGGATTTAACCAACGTCTTTATCCACTGAAGAAGGCCCGATCGTAGACAGATACCGAGTAAAACTATTATTGTAACTGGGTACATTCTGAGCACCAGTTGATTTATGAGTACAATAGACTAAAATGACATAGGTAAGTAAGTAATTCGCTTTCTTTGATGAATCTTACTTCTCAAGGCAGACTGAAAAATAAAATAAAAGGCAAGCTGAGACATTTTATGTCTGGCCATTATTTATTTGAGAGTTACTAAGAGAGAAGGTGAAAGAAAGTATATATATATATATATATATATATATATATATATATATATATATATATATATATATATATATATATATATATATATATATATATATATATATATATATGCATGTTTCATTAAAAATGACACACAAGTACTACGGTTAAGCTTTTTATTTAATTTTTCTTGTGTTCTGTCAAGAGCTTTCTTTTCTGGACAAAGGGTGTGTAAGAACTGTCCGAATGTTCTGTATTTCCGAGCGCTTTCGGCTATACCTTTAGCCATTATCAAGGATGATTCGATTTATCAGCTTAGTAGAGTGTGTGTGTTCTGTGTATGTTCAGTGTGTGGTAGTGATGTTTTTAGTTTCCGAATACGGTTAGCACATTGTGGCTTTGTTCACACACACACACTCTACTAAGCTGATAATCGAATCATCCTTGATAATGGCTAAAGGTATAGCCGAAAGCGCTCGGAAATACGGAACATTCGGACAGTTCTAACACACCCTTTGTCCAGAAAAGAAAGCTCTTGTCAGAACACAAGAAAAATTAAATAAAAAGCTCAACCGTAGTACCTTGTCTGTCGTTTTTAATGAAACATGCATAAAGGAAGGATTGCTGCCTAAATATACAAATATATATACATATATATATATATATAATTAGTATATAAAAGTGTGTATCTTTATGTATTTCACTCTCAACAAGTAATAGTAAATAATAATAAAATACAATGAGAAGGTGCTGAAAAGCTCTCAGTCTGACTCGCTTCCCCAAATCTGACCAAACACTAGATTTTTTTTTTGTTTTATTTGAACTCCTTTTTGGTCAAACGGAGATATTTTCAGCATCTTTTCATATATATGACACTAGTTGTAAAGTACGGCTCGAAATAAAGTCATTATTATAGAAAAAAAAACAACCTGCATTAACCAAATTTTTTTCACCATAGGAGAAAGCCTGTTAAAATGTGTTTAAATTTTGTTTAAATTAATATTATTTTGGTCTTTAAATTCTGTTATGTCATTCCTACACCAATCCTCCATTAAGCTATTTTTTGAAAAAAAAATTTCACATACATATCTTTTATATGTTGGCACAAACCATTCTAGTACAACATCTAGTACAACATTATTAATGTGCACTTAAAATAAAATTGCATTTCCAAAAAATACAACAATGAAATTGATCAAAACTTTTCTCTATTTTTAATCATTTCACCTCAAGCAAGGCGATAATGCCACTAAGGCGCAAGGGGGCTACACAGAGTGAAAGACAATGTAAAGATTTTAGAAGGAACCGGAAACCAAACCCTAAATATTGAACAAGAGATAAACCTCAACTCCTGCTCAAAAGACTAAGGAGGAGTATGAACCGGCCAATAGGCGAAACTGTCTACACTTGTTTATGAGAAAAAACAGCGAATAAAAATATGGAGTTTTAGTAGACGATACATAGATAGATAGATAGATAGATAGATAGATAGATATGAACAGAACAAAAATAGCTAGAGAGATAAAACATTTGAATATATATATATATATATATATATATGTGTGTGTGTGTGTGTGTGTGTGTGTGTGTTTATAAATGTAAAAGTGAAGATTGAAGTCAACACTTAGACTGGCTGTTTCATGCAAGACACAATTGCCGGGCCAATCGTCGTGGCCTGACGATTGCGTCTAGCATGAAACAGCCTGTCGCCTCTGAAGTGTTGACTACAATGTTTACTTTTATATTTACACACGCTCTATCTCTGATAGTGAGCACTTTATGCCATAAATACAGCACACCTTAAGACTATATTTCTTCATATATATATATATATATATATAGTGATCCACAAAATATTTATCTATGTCTCTCTCTCTCTCTCTCTCTATCTATATATATATATATATATATATATATATGTGTGTGTGTGTGTGTGTGTGTGTGTGTGTGTGTGTGTATAAATAGATAGATAGATATATTAGACTGAGTTGTAAATTTTCCGATTTTGCTTACCAACTTTATTCTCTCAAAACTTTTATTCAGTTATATATTTGATTTTATGCCTATCAACTCATATTTAGCCAGGATAAATGGAATAAAAACTGATTAGACAAGCATTATGAGTTATGCTTAATAAAACCTTGGAACACACACACAGATAGATAGATAGATAGATAGATAGATAGATAGATAGATAGATAGATAGATAGATAGATAGATAGATAAAGAAAGGGAGAGGGGTATGTTAGATTTAGTTGTAAATATTTTCCGATTATGCTTATCAACTATATTCTTCAAAAAATAAAGTAAACTTACATTTTATTGAATTATATATTTGATTTTATACACATTAACTCCTA